GGATCCAGTCCTTCAAATGCCGCCCTAAGATCTCTCGGAGTCTTCATGTTTTGAAAGGCAATCATCATAACGCGACAAAAGCCGTCAAAATTCATGGATCCGCGTCCGTCAGGATCAGCTTCTTTTTTCCAGCTCTCCACATCTAATTCAGAGGGTGTGGCTCCACAGATCCGCAAGAGAGTAATAAGATCCGAAAGAGGTACGCGCCCAATTTTATCTCGATCAAACACGTCATAGTTACGCTTTAAAAATTGACGAGTAATCTCATCAAAAGCGCTTGCCATCTCTAATAAACTACTTTTTACAATCGTAAAAGAGATAAAGAGCAAGAAGAATAAACGAAAGCTAACAAAGTTGATCGTCACCAAATCCTAATTATATAGAGCATGAGGTTAGAAAAAAAAAAAAAAAAAAAAAAAAAAATGAGCACAATGATCACACTGATAAAAGCAAACAAATATGGTTCTCAGTCCTTACGGTGAGGGGATGGAGACGACGCCAATTGAAACCAATGGTCTCAACTCCTCTCGTATCCATGCCAAAAGGGCAGAAGACTCTCCACCACATTTTTTGGCATACAATTCACCTGCAGATTGTATTATTTTAAAAATTTCTTCCCACGGTGCAAACTTATCGGCCATCAAATACGCTGTATCATCCGGAATGCTATCTCTAAATTGAGCATTAAAATAGCGGTCTACTGCTTCATAAAAAAATCGTGTCCCTATGACTGCACCGGTGACCTTGCGCATCCAGGTCAAACAAAAATTTTGATCTAAATGATCTAAATGCAGGTAAGGGCTTACAGCATCCGACAATGTGGAGCCTCTTTCCACACTTTCCAACACTTTCACCTCCATATCGGACTCCAAAAAAAGAAGGCGTGAATTCGCATGCCAGCGGCCCACCGTGGAAAAAGTATCAGAAGATAGCCCAGTTTTAAAAGTCGTTAAAAGAAAATTTTCTTGAAAAAGTGACAACAGATCAGACAGGTTACGTTCCATCATTTGTGTGGTCCATTTTTCTTTTCCCAAAGCCTCAAGTTGTTGCTGCGGAACAAATCCTGCCGCAAAAGGTGCCACAAAGGGAAGGAAAGGGAAGGTCAAACTTAATTCCTCGTAAGGCGTCCCAACCACTTTCCCAAAAGAATCAAGAGTTTGCGGACGCCCCCCCGGGTTGTTCAAAAAATGTTTTGATCCTATGGCCTCGAAAAAAGAGCAAAACGCCTTCACAATAATGAAGGATTTATCTGTACCCCCCACGCTAGCAAGATTTTTGCAAAATTCGTAATACAACAAATCATCAAAATAGTAACCTGTCCTTTCCTCAGTATGAACAAATAAAATTGGAAGGAAACGAGCAAAACTCGCAATTGTTTCGCAAATATTATCAAAGAATGCAGGAATGTCGACATACAACTCATCCGCTATAGAGAACGCAATATAGCTATAAACCTTCTCCAAGACATAACGAATGCTGTCTTCACCAAGGCCTGCTTCAGCTATGACAAGAGCAAAAAATTCTCTGTCACACACAAACCTGTTAACACGAATAAGTAAGGGGAAGTATTTTTCCATGTATGTTCCCAGCACACCATCTTGTCTCAATTCATTGGCGGTAAGAGAGGCGGTCAAGCTGTCTACTACCCGATAAAAACCTCCTTCTTCCCAATATAAAAGCTGGGAATGAAAGCCAGGGTTAGGATTTGCCACGGGACGGGCATTTTTCACCAGTAAGAGCGCTTCATCTTTGGAGCATCCAGTTCTTTTCATAATATAGGCCATAACAACTGAAACAGAGCGACTCACCCCCACAAGACAATGTACAACCACGGCATGTAAAGACGAAGGACAATTTTTAAATTTTTTCCGACTTAACATAACAAGCTCAATAAGCGTACACAATTCGGAAAAATGACGACTAATGTCATACACCGGACTATCTTCAGCAGAAACGGAGCGAATAAAAACTTTCCGTAACTGAATCTCCTCAGGGATTTCGTTGGACATGTAATGATCAATTTGGGTCACAAAAGCGTCAAACGACGACAATTTGTTATAAACACACCGCTGTAAATCTGAAGAATACTCATACACTCTATAGGGTGCCACATAATCACTCCCATTTAGAGTTAAAATAAGAGAAATTCCATTCTCCTGAGCAAAAAAACGATTACATATGGTCTCCTCACATGTTACAAAGAGTCCTTCAAAAATATTACTTAATTTTAGCCATGAAATATCGGTTTCTGTAGAGATTGTTTCTACATTCGAGACAATTCTCTGCTGTGGAGACCACTGGATTTTCTTGAGGACATCACACATGCCGAATTAAACCTGATAAAAAAGGCAAAAAAAAAAAAAAAAAAAAAAAAAAAAAAAGAACAGAAAAAATATAATAAATAATAAAGCAAATAAATACGTTATATTAAAGTTCTACGATCTTTTAAAAAATAATTGCAGAAACGCAAGACATTTGAAAATAATAATAATAAGCAACATTACAAATGCTGAAATTACCACCTTTTTGCCGTTTTTATTGTTGCGAGTCGTCGCTACGTATCCAACCAAGAACGTCATTAGCAACGCTTGATACAACACGCTGCTGCTCTGTGCTTCTTACAGTTCGTTGACCAAATCGTTCCATGGCCTTTCTGCGCTCATGAAACTCCATCCGTTTTAGCATGTGATGAGCCTCTAGTTGGTCAGGCGAGCAATTTGAAGAGGCAATACCCCTTGATGCTAACGTGCGATCTTTCCATTGTGGTCGTGGTGGGGATTGCGTGATATTATTGATAGTGAACTCGGGGTCGTTTCTTTCATCAAGAATATACTTTAGGGCGGCAATGTGAGCATCTTTAACGTATTCTGTGGCTTCTCTGTCAAGGTTTCTTCCTATATTATCCAAACCATATGGATCCTTAATGGCAAACTCAAAAAATGGTGGTCGTCCAGTTTCCAAACCGGGGGATTTTTCCCAGCGCATCGTTTTCTTAAGAAGATTCATATTCGTCGTGCAAACAACATTTTTTTCATAATCAAAAATATGACCATAGTACTCAAAAAAGGCTGCAGTCAAAAAACCAAGCTCTGCAATATCCAAACCTTTACCATCATTTAGTGGACGATACTCCGGAAAAAATGGAAGAAGCTGTGGTTCGTCTGTGGAACGTAGCGTGGATACTTTGGGTAGTTTACCAACCTTGATCAAGAAATGAGCACACATAACAGTTAGGGCGTAACTCGCAAGAAGACCATCCATCGAATTAATAACCCCGCTACGACGTCCCCATTTTTTTATCAAAAGAAGTAAGTGCCTGGAAAATTCATAATGTGAAAGAGTATTACTCAACAGGTAAGAATTCCTTAGACCGATAGATGAGAAACAAAAATCAAAGGGAAGCCTGTAAAGCTCCGGTCCATTTCTTGGATCAACCGGCAGACGAAAAGGGATATCGATTCCTTCATGACGCCGAACCTGTGTCAATGCAGAAACAAGTGCCGTTGTAGACTTAAACTCAATTGTTGCAAACTGCTGATTGTTGTTCCAGTCAACACGAGTGGCTGCATAATTCTCTTGCATCCGTTTTTTAAAGGATTGCGTTTCATTATCATTTAATTGGCGCGTAAATTGAAACAATCCACAGGCCGAAAGGTGATGAAGCGGCGTACCAGGAAGCAGTTTACTTACTCGATCTACCTTTATAACAGGAACACGAGCTTTTGATAACGCACTACTTTTCATGCCAAGACGCCGCATTTCCCTCGATAAACGAGAAACAATTTCACCTGCTTCCCCAACTCCAGGCTCAACGTCCATCACACCTACGAAATCCACATCTCCTCCTACTTCTAGAAGACCCAAGACCACCAATCCACCAAATACAAAAACATTCGCATCATATCCTGCAGCTTGAACAATATTTTCAAGCTGTTGTCTGGCAACAGAGCATTCTTCAAACGCCAAACGACCTGTATCTGAAGTCAGAGCCTGTTGAACAACAAAACTCCCAATACCTTCCCAACAACGATCGTTTATGGGGGGAATAGAAGATTTCCAGGGTAACGCTATCCATCTTCTCGCACCCTCCCGTGCCGAATAAATTTTCAGAAATCGTCTCATATAGGCTATAATAAATAGAAAAACAAAACAA